GTTCACCTATGGCGGCTGTAAGGGTCGTCAATGATGGCATGATGAATGATTAGAACTCTAATTCGCTAGGAACAGATTAGGGATAGAATTTTGCTCACTTGATGAAGATCAAAATGCAACCAAGAATCCCAAGTTTCCCCCATCTTCACTCCATTCGCTGCCTCGCCGCTTTTCAACATTGCATTCATTTTTTCATCCATCTGATCATCGATTGCAACCCAAGAAAAAATGGATGATTGTGTTTGATGTGTGCGTTATAGGCCACATGAAAAAAACGGACAAATCCCATTTAGATGGCATAAACCCATCGATCTAATAGCAATCAGAGTTATTTGAGAAATTGTTCACTCCTTACCCCTCAAGTTATTTCCAATTAATTCATTTAACCCTAATTCACTTTCTTTAATAAATTAAGTTTCTTAAAACTACAAGCCAGCCCCTCACCTCCATATCAACCTTTTAATGACCGATAATTACCCTAAATACACCCAAATTAATTTAACTAAATTATATTCCTCTTAAATATTGACTAATTGTTTTAGATATTAAATAACACCATTTTTATTTAATTTATTTCATTATATACTCTTAAAACCGAAATTACTTTACACATTTAATATTCGAGTAATGGAAAACTAACGTCGTTAATGGAAGGATTTTTGGGTCGTTACCTATGATTTAGTGAAACTTTTATGAGCCAACATAAAAGAGACAAGTCCTTTTCTAAAGGACAAAATGAACCAAAATCTTCATTTTGTTCTTCATGCTCCTTTCGTGTAAAACTGTGGGTAGCACAACGGATCTTCAAAAATGGTCATCATCTTCATCTTGTTAGATTTTATATAATATAAAACTTGTCTAATACTAACCTATTACATACAAAATAAGAAAGATGAAAACCAACTATTTTATTAGTACATATCATATGAATAAAAGAATATTACAACCATTTTAATGAATCATCACAAACAACTACACAAAATAAGGTTTATGACTTGTTTATGCACTCTAAAATACATTAACACATAAAAAAATCATTGTTTTTCTAAGACAACTTTAAGTGACAAAAAATACATGTAAAATTTTGTCACAAAAAAAACATGTTATAAAGTTTTCATAGAAAATATATGCGAACTTGTTTTAACAAAAAAAAGCAAGCTATCCATATTTTCTAAAAACCAAGATTATCCAAATAATTACGAATTCTAACCAAGCTTAAAAGATGGATCGAATACCAATTGTTGGGATTTTAATCAAAAACTATTTCAAAAACACAATATTAGCAACAGAAGACTTACTATTTGAACAACATAAAATAGTTTTATTCCCACCAAAGGAGCTACATGCAAAGATTGAAAAAAAACAACCATAGATGAGGTAAAAGTATAACAAACTTTGTAATCATTTGAATCTTTAAGGGGATGCTAGAATGTTGATGAAGATGGAAAAGATGCAAGTTAGAACAATAAAGCCTCTAAGACTTATAAGTCTTCATGAGGAGAACAATAAAGCACAAAAAAACTACACAAGACAATTTACTAGAAAGAGGATAGGGGAGGATATATGCTCTCGACTTTTGCAAAGGAAAAGGAAGAAGCAAATAAACTATTTAATGTATCCTCTCTCCTTAATATAGTCTTACACCTAAATGAAAGCCCATGCTTTCATTGAACGAGTTGAAGTATTGCAAGAAACATAATGATTTAAGAAGAAGTTAAAAAAGTAACCAACCATGCCTTGTAAGAAGGCATAGACGGTTCTAAGATGAAGAAGAGAGAGTTAGTGCTTTCCACATCACTCTTTCATATATTATGTAGACAACATATTAAATGGTCAGCTATAGGTCCATAATGTTATACATAATCTTATAATCATACTATATGATCATATGTAACTAGTTATGATATCTTTATTTATTTTTCTCAAAAATAATAATTCCCCATTCAATACAAGTGATGATTTAATATATTAATAATCATATTACTTAATAAATAATCAATTAGTGTTTACTTGTTATATGATATGACTCTATAATATCATATGTTATTACTAAATATCATTTTATAATGATCATTGAGAATAAAGATCTTTCATTTACGTTATTGTCACCCACATAAATGACCAGCACCACCAGCCTCCACCCCACTTACCGCCAAAATCTTTTCCACCCTTACGGTTTCATAGAAAATCACAAGAAAACTAGTCGGTTTTTTTTTGACATAAATAAATAATAATTGAGCAAGATATTTTATTTAATATATCATGATTTGATGTAGACAATCTTAAGACAGACTTTTTGACATACACTAAGGCTGCTGGGTGTGGGCAACATGTTATTACATGTTACCACATCCAAAATGTGTCATATCATCATCCTAGTCATAAATGGGTGTTATAACATCAAATGTAGAAATGGGCAACACCAAATAACATGTAATAAAACCACTTATTTTCTATTTTATTTTTTAATTTTTTTAACGTTTTTACTTTCTATATTTTCGGATTTCTTTTTTTTATTTATGTCATAATATAATTATAATATAAACAATTTCAACAAAAAATCGGACCAATTCCGATATACAGCAAATATGTGGACTAAAGATGCCAAAACCCACCAAGTTTACTGTTGCTAACTTTGACATTTTTAATATATATTATATATTATATATATATATATCTATATATATATATATAATATATACTATATATATATATATATATATATATATATATTAAATCTTAAGTTAAAAATAAAATTTAAAAAATAACGATAAAAAATGAAATTGAAAGGATCTTATATATGTTGAAAGGATTTGTTTGGTTTGGAAAATAAAACCAAGATAAATGTGGTGTATTTATATTAATAGAGATTTTTTTTATTTTTTTTATTATTTTTTTTATTTTTTATGTTTGTGACCGTTTGCAAACGGTCGGATTTTTAAACGTTGCACCAATTGGATTAGCCGTTTCCTCCCGTCACCACCATAACGTACGCTAACATAACATCTAATAACGCCAGGTGGGCGCGGTGTTTCGCGTGTTATAACGCCGTTATATGGCTTCCACGTCGGATTAACGCGAATACGCGTTGCCCATACCTACCGTCTAATAACTAATAACAAGTTATGATTACCATCATGTAGGCCTACATTTCATTCTATTAGCCCACTAAACAAGTCTATGTTATAGTATAATCATGTCACACTATGCTTTATTTTACATTGATTACAATAAAATAGAAATCATCCTCACTTCCTCACTTTGGTTGTGAAATGTTTTCCAAATTAGTGTTTTTGGCATATGAGTTTGAAAATATAAAGGTTGCAAACAAGATTTGATAATCATGAATCTTGTTTGTTCACTTTTCGTATTAATTAAGAACATTGTTTGTTCATTTTTGGTATTGATATTTTATTCTCTATGCTTGTGGGTGATGGATAATAATTTAATTTGGAATAATCTTTAGGGCATCCACAATGCATTGTACTTTATAAAGTTTAATGGATTGCCATATCATTTTTTATATTTCATACAACTCTATCAATTTTTTTTACAATACAAAAAAATACACGAAATATAGTCCTACACCTATCAATTAGGGCATCATTTTCATTCCATACAACTTTATCCTTAGGCCATCATTTTTTACATTCCATACAACTTTATTCTTAGGGTATCATTTTTTATATTCGATACAAATCTATCAATTTTTTTTCCCATTGAAGAGTTCAATAGCCATCGAACTCCAAATCCATTGAATGACTATTGAATGCCAATGTGGCATCTCACTATAGTAAAGTTTAATCCATTGAATGACAAATATATTTACTACATCATTCAACTTTTCTACTAAACTCATGGACGCTCTTAAGAAACAAATTTTGATTCACAAAACACAAATATTACTTTTGGAGAGTATATATATATATATATATATATATGTTAAAGATCTTGAGAGATTCCCAAAACTGACAAAATATGAGTGCATATACTGCCCAAGTCAAGCTGCTATATGTAGGTCAGGCTATTAGTTTGGCTAAGTTTGCTTCATCGTGAGCTGCCTCTGTACAAACCCAAAAACATATGTTTCTTCAAAGATCCTTCGTTCTGATCATGTTTTTTCACTGCCTTCCAAGACTAATGTTTTGCCGAGATTTTGGGGCGTTGCATTTCTCTTGACCGCCGTATTTCGTGGTTTACAAGATCAAATTGATTATATATACAAATACGTACTCTATACCACATGATTTATATTATACTCCGTATTTTAAATTCCCATTAATTGGCAGTACTGTGTTATTTTGAGTTATGATAAATTGCTGGTGACACTATAATTAACAACAAAAAGTCATAAGTTTAAGGCTAATACAAAATATGTGAAAGATTAATGTTACATTATGTTTGATATTTAATTTAGGTCATAACGTCATTATGCTCCAATTTTATGTTTGATATTTAATTTAGGTCATAACGTCATTATTCTCCAATTTTATCACACGGGACTCATTAAACTTTGTTTTTTTGTTTTTTTGTTTTTTTTTGTTTTTATACCAAAAGTTAAAACAATCCCCAATTTTGACATCATTCTCATAACTCGATTGAGAAACAATATCGGTCTCATATACTTTTGCAAAAGCTCGTATATACGAGATCAATGCAGTTTATACGATCCAAGTCCATAGAACCTGATTTAACATGTCTGTAGACTATGCGATAAACCTGCAGTCTTACACAATAATTCTTAATTAGCACAATCAATATAATGTTTAATAAAAAAGTTCATGTAGAACTATGTGCTTTGAAACATAATATATTTGATATGATATGCGTTAGTATCTAATGATGGCTTACTTGACGACATGGATATTAGAATGTGATGAACATATAATATAACTAAAGATAATACGTTAAATAACCTAGCTACTAAAGATAATACGTTACAGATCGTTTATTAATCGAATTACAGTTAAACTGAAATCCAAAACCCTAATTAGCTTAGAGATCCTTAAACATGAAATAACGTACCAAAGTAGTTGACAAAATAAGTCTTTTTGTCAAGTTCATATTACGCAACTTCCGTAATTATATGCATATATAGGAGCAAAATTACTTGAAAGGGGCCGTCAAATCTTTGCTTCCTTCACTCAACATCGAATTCCACTCCCAAATTCTATCGGGAAATGTCACATGAGCAGCTCCAGCTCCAGGCAAGTTATTACTAAGTGCAAGAAGCGCTTGTGAGCTCAACTGTGGCTGCTGTTGTTGTTGTGGTTGAGGCAGCATATTATTAAAGAGATGCGGAGAATAGTTTGAAGAATCACCGAGGTGATAATTATGAATATTCAGAAGTTGAGAGGGTGGACAAGTGTCAAGAACTCGTTGAGAACTGATAATTCTAGGAAGATCATCAACACTGTTAGGGAAGATAGTTGAAGAGGGGGTGGCAATGACATTGTGGTATGAGGAGTTGAGAGGGTTTGAAAGGCCGAGAGCAGTGCCAACAACGCCGGTGGGGGTGCAACTACTTGTATCACTGGGTTTTTCATCAGTATGGTGAGAAGATTGGCCTTCAAAACAATTGAAACTCGAAGAATTCTGGGATTGCTGATTGATATTATAATTTGAGGTTCTTGAGGTACTCCTTGTTTGGAGAGAACGAGGGAGAGATGGATGGTCTTCTACTCCACTTCGCTTGTAAACCCTACACAGCGAGATCTCAGCCTGCAAAAACGACGAGGAAAAACATGTAACATGAAAACTACATATATATTTACATACTAGCAAGCATTTAATTCTAGCGGTGATATTGGTCTCTAAATTAAGAGAGAGAAGTACGCATTTAAAGCTTGCGGTGACCTTGGCAGACGAGTTATAGTTTATACTCTAATCATTGCTGTTCGACCTTTTGTAATCTTTATGTTTCATGTTGGAGTTCCTAGTGTTTTCGTTTAAAAAAAGATTGGTTTTTAAATCTGGAAAACCAAACAAGTGAGAAGTATACAGACCTTTTGTAATCTTTCTGTTTCATGATGGGGCAATCGGTATTCATTCATGATCCAACTACTTCGAATGCCTTTTGGAGCTTTTCCTGAGTAAAAAACAAGGGTTTTCTTTAATCCGATGGATCTGGAATTATCAGTTCTAATCATTCTATCAGCTCCGGTGGCCTTCCAGTAGCCTGAAGTGGTCACACGGTTAGGTCGATCCCCATTACGATACTTCTTATCTCTTGGCACATAGAAAAACCATTCTTTCTCGCCGATTGCTGCTAAAGCTGAAACACAGTGTAAAACAAAATCCAAATTTTAGACCTAAGGTGAACCCACTAATTAAACATAAAGACTGGTAATTTAGAAAGAGTAGAATCTGAATTAAGATAGATTGTAGTATCGAGGAAGAAAGACAAAGTAATTTAATGAAAGGAAAGAATAGATCACACAGAATTATGCATAATCCAGATATATAGTACATCAGTGGATAAAAGGGAGAAACGATATGTCACATACACCCAGTGACTTGATGAAGAAGAAGAATTGGATCCAATTATGATTTGATGATGGAATTACAAGACGCAATACATAATCCAACCGATGGAACATAATTAGTTGACTAGTTAGATTATCAAAAAGATATAAACACTCACACACACACACACTCTTTGTGTAGCTAGCTAGAGTGATTTATACCAGGGAGTTCCCACGGATCGTATCGGTAAAGATCAAGAAAAGTGATAAGCTCAACATTGAATCTCTTGCCCTCTACCTTACGGCGAAGGTAGAACTCAACAAGCTCTTCCTCCGTTGGATGAAATCGAAACCCTGGCATCACCATGTCGTTTTCATGATCGTCATCCTCGTCTTGTTGCTGCTTCTTGTTTCTTATCTCTTCTTCTTGGTTCATCGTCCTTGCTCCTATTGCCATAAACCGTTGGCTGATACCTTCTTAAACACCAGTATAATAATTGTCAAACCCTTTCTTCGAACAAGACAAGTCATATACGTGGTATATAAAGGTTGCACATGTATGCTAAATTACAAAAAAAGGAAAAATAAAATTTAACAGTAACAAGAATGAAACATTTATCCGTACCAAAGATCAAAACAAAATATTTTAATGAAATTAATTACCAATTAGGTCTCGTGTTTTTTTATTGACGTGGGTGTGTGTAATTTAGCCCGTAAAAAAGTTACATAAGTTTGACTATCTTTGAATTATTAGAAGAACACTCTCCATAGCTTTCAGGGCCTACATATATGGACGATGAAAGCATGCATAGAGGTGGTTTAAAGATGAGAAAGCGACGTTTTGAATTGAACAGGTTGGACACAACACCTTAGCGGTGGGTTAGAGCTTAATTTATTCTACCATAAATACTTTTTATTACTTATTAGTTATGACACTATAATTTTCTGATTAATCAAATAAAGATTCAAGCTAAATCTATAGCATACATATATGTGCTTTAGGCTTGTTCTTGAATCGTGTAATGTAATTAGTTCTAGGCATTTGTCTAGGGTTGTCACATGGTTAATTTAGAAAGAAACATCATCATGAGTAATTGTACATGTAAACTCTGATCTGAGCTATTTGTTGGGCTTGTTTTTCTTATAAAATTATAGCTGTTGAAGAAAATAAAATAAAAAAATAAACAAGTTAAATAACCAACGACTAATTAAGCATGTATAGTTTAATTTCTAATTTTGAGCTTAAGGAATTAGTAGGGTACATGCCAGCCATAGTTGTTCCAACGAACATGTCCGTGATCATCATTAAGATTAAGAAGCTAAAATCACAAACGTTTTACAGATAAATGTAATTTGAGCTTAAGCAATTAAAAAATTGTTATGGTATTACTCGGAATATTGTTTTCAATAGACATTAGGTTTGAATATATGTGACGATATAAATGTTAGACATTATCTACTTACTGAATTGCCCTAAAGTTTGTATGGACATGTGAAACCCATAAAAGAATTAGGTCAACGAAATCAAATGCTAATGTGTTAAAAATCTCATTTTTGTGTAGTTGTATGGTTATATTGCAGCCTAGATATTTTACGAGATAGAACGAGAGAATTCCATGCTTAAAGTTAAATGCTTAAAGTTAAAGGGGTAAATACAATATGTGGATGTCTCTCGTCCACCAGTTCTATATATGGATACTACTATGGAAAATGTAGTGTTTCATAAACAAGAGAGGTCGTGATATTTTGTTACTGTATCTCATACCAGTGCGAACACTACAGGAAATGCAAGAGTATTCGCAGTGATAGGCGTCACCGCTAAAGGTCATGTATGTCGCAGCTAAAGGCTTTTGCGACGACGCGTCCCCGTCAGTAGTTCGCCGCTGTTGTCTCGCTGCAAATGTTCCATATGTTGCCGCTATTGCTTTACGTCGCCGCAAATACACTGTCACCGCTAATGCCCGACATCGCTGCTAAAGCCCCGTCACCACTAATACATGTCCATCGCTACTAAAGGCGTCGCCGCTAATTGTTTTTTCCATTTTTTTAGTATATAACACTAAAATTAGAAAAAACAGTATAACAAGTATAAAAACTGCTACGAAACATTATTTTGTAGAAAAATAGTTCGAAACATTAACCACTTAATAATACATATGACATCCGATCCAAAATATTAATCCAAACATCTGGTCCAAAGTACTCATCCAAACATAGTGCAGTATATCCAAAATACTAGTCTACAATACTAACCAATTTTTTTTTTTTCATAAATCCTAAAATAGTAGCTACTCGTCCTCATCACTCCCCTCGTTTCCTCCGTTTTCATTTCGTGGCGGCAACAATCGAAACCCTCTTCTAGCAGCGCATTGTAGGCCAGATCTTTTAACATTATTTGCAGTATATCCAACTACAAAGAAAACAAAATATATTACTAACATATCATAATAACATTCTATTTTACAAATTAAGGTCATGATGATTATAGCATCCAACTTTTTTTTCTTCATTTTTCCATTATAGCATTATACTTTTCAAATACACTTAAACATATATACATCCTACACAATATTGCATATACATAATAACATTATACTTTTTTTTTTCTCATGTTTTCACTATAGCATTGTACTATACTAAACTAACAATTATCAAACTACAACCAAACTACATCCTAACAATATTGAATATACATTATAACATTGTACTTATTTTTCATTTTTCCATTATATCATTGTACTATAATAAACTAACAATTATCAAATTATAACCAAACTACATCCTACACAATATTGCATATACATTATAGCATTGTACTTTTTTTTTCATTTTTCCATGATAGCATTGTACTATACTAAACTAACAATTGCCAACATATCATTATAGAATTCTACTTTCCAAATACACTTAAACATACCTCATACACAATATTGCATATACATTATAGCATTGTACTTTTTTTTTCATTTTTCCATTATAACATTGTACTATATTAAACTAACAATTACCAAACTACAAAATACCAATATATCACACTATAACCAAACTACACCTTACACAATATTACATATGTATTATAGCGTTGTACTTTTTTTTCATTTTCCATTATAGCATTGTACTATACTAAGCTAACAATTACCAACATATCATTATAGCATTCTACTTTACAAAATAAGGTCATGATGATTATAGTATCCTACTTTTTTTTTTCATTTTTCCATTTCTAACACCCTGTTCCGGTCATTTCTTATTTCAGGGTCGTGGGCCATAAGTCGATTGTGTAAAGGCTTTGGGCCTTAAGTAGGTAAAGTTTAGTCCTTGTGGGGCTCCTTAATACCTTTATGTGGATATAATGATCGACGAAAACAGAGTTGGAACGAAGAAGTTACGACCATTGGAAGTTAGGAAGGTTTTAGGTTTAGCCTAGTACGCTGGGCTTACAGGGAGTACGTTGGGCGTACTAGGCATATTAGATCACGAGATTTAATTTGGTACGCTGGGCGTTCGCGTTCAGAACCGAAACACTAATTTGAGGGTTTTGAGCCCTATTTAAGCTCCTTAACTCCCCCAAACCTTCTCCATTCTCAGCCTCCATCCCTTCAAAGTCCTCCCTCGAAACCCTAACCCTCGTTTGAGTCGTGTGAGCTAAAAAAAGGAGTTTTTGAGTTATTTGGAGTGTTCTTGGTGCATCTTGGGGAAGAAGGAGCTCATTGGAGAAGTATTAATTGCATTGGAGCTTGTAGATCCATGCCTTATTTACCTTGATCTTTCTTCTGGAGGTATAAAGCTTGAATCTTGATGATGCATTTGTTAGATCTAACTAGCTTTGGGTGTTGTGAACTTTTGGTCACTTTAGTGCATAATGTTTAGATCTTGAAAGTTTGTGACCTTGTTAAGGATAAAGTTGGAAATTTATCCATCTAAACATTATTTTGATTCAGATATGAAGGTTGGGGACTTGGACTTAATGGATTAAGTTGAGAAAGATGCACTTTTGGTCCCCTTGAGACTTAAAGACTAGATCTTGGTTGTTTGGACCATTCTAATGGATAAAGTTGGAAACTTTATCCATTATAGAGCTAGTAGGAACCATAAAAATGTCATCTAATGCATATATTGATATAGTGTGGTTGGGTTGAGACTGTACTGATTTGTGCTTCCAGTCAACAAACCCGGGGCAATCTAACCGGGATGTTGTGGGCCAGGGCAATCCAACCGGGAGGTTGTGGGCCAGGGGTAATCCAACCGGGAGGTTGTGGACCCAATATGTAGTATGTATGGCCATCCAACCGGAAGGTTGTGGGCCAGTGGTAATCCAACCGGGAGGTTGTGGACCCGAGCGTATTCCAGTCCGATGGTCGATTGGACCCAACATTCATGATTGTATATGTTATATGTTCCTGTGGTGATACTGTGGAGAACTCACTAAGCTGCGTGCTTACAGTTTGGTTTCATGTTTTCAGGTACTTCAGATTATCGGGGCAATGCGAAGACTTGATCGTGCACATCCTTCAATTTTATGAGATTTGATTTTGTGATGCTCTGATTTGTGACTATCGACACTTTGGAAACTATGTTTCTAAACATTTATGGTTTGTGGTTGTTTTTGAAAAATGAAATTTTTACCGTGATTTTTGGGATGTTACACCATTATAACATCGTACTTTTCAAAGACACTTAAACTAACAATTACCTGTGATTGTGGTGGTGGTTGTGTCAGTGGTTGTTCATGATCGTACATAGAGACAACTGTAAACGGTTTACACTTGATGCGTCTGATATGGTCCTGTCAAGAACTCAGTATTCTTTAAAAACAATGTTTTATATCCTCTGATGTTAGACCGCTTGCTTTCAGATGAAGTTGAGTTTGTTTATTGATCTTTTGGACTAAAGCATTCTGTATTTTAAAAAAATGATAAACATTAATATATATATATATATATATATATATATATATATATACATGGGCTAGGTTAATGTGTTTCTTACATTTATTGTGTGCTAGAATGCACCAATAAGAATTTAGTAAAATTAACTAATTATTTAATTAAATAAAGATATATATTAAATGATTTCCATAATTGTATGTATATTAAATGATATCCATAATTATAATTCTCTTTTTATAGAAACTAATTAGATTCGTAATTTACGTCAGCAATAACATTCTTTCAAAATAAATTCGCATCTAGCGTTTTTTGTATAGGTTCGTGTTTTGTTTTAGGACTCACTCACTTAAAATAAAATAAAGTTGTATGAAATATGAAGAACGAGAGTGTATTCTACTAGAATACACTCTCATTCTGCTAGAATACACTCTCATTTTTCTATATACAAATTCATTCCGAAAGAATATTATTGTTGACATTAATGATGAATTTAATTAGTTTCCATAAAAAGAAATTATAAGTATGGATATCATTTAATATACATATAATTTTTACTAAATTTTTATTGGTGCATTCTAGCACACACTGGATGTGAGAAACATTATATATATATATATATATATATATATATATATATATATATATATATATATAT